TTGCTACTTGACACTCTGTCATCAGGCTGGGTTTGCAGTGTGATAGAAAACATGCACCCCAGTTCCTGAGCCCTCCCCAAACCAGCGTGATGCTTGTGACCTGCTCCCAGAACAAGCTACTGCAGATGGTTTCAGCAGCCCTCTGAATAATGAGCCTTTGGGACATGCCAAAACCCCATGGTGCCACCACTATTGCTAGAAGAAGTTTAGGAATGGTTGCTGTAGGAAAATGTAGGATTGCTTCCCTAATGAAATACTGATGAATATATTTCTGTAAAAGGCTTGAGTGTGATATTTAGTATAGGATTGCCTAGGATTCAATGCTGTACCGAGTTTGGTCTTAGGTGTCTCCTCAACTTCACAGAAACATAGAATGGTTTGGGTTGGAAGGGACCTTAAAGATCATGTGCTTCTAATGCCCCTGTCGTGGGCAGGGACACCTTTCATTAGAGTAGGGTGCTCAGGGTACCATCCAACCTCCCCTGGAACACTTCCGGGGGTGGGGCATCCCTGACTTCTCTGGGCAACCTGTTCCAGTGCCTCCCCACCCTCACAGCCAAGAATTGTTTTCTAATACCTAGTCTAAAGCTGTGCTCTTTCAGTGTGAAGATATTCCCCCTTGTCCTGTCACTACATGTGGCTTGTCCTGTCACTACTAATTTCCACATGGAAGGGAAGATGACTTTTTCTGGTCAGTATTCCCCCAAATATTTTCTCTGTTGTTGGCTAACTAGGAGAGGTAAATGCAAGTTTATCTGGGCCCTCAATTTCATCTTTCCATGCCATTCAGTAATATTGTTGTACACAGTCCTGTAAAAATACATATTTATTGTTGATCAGCTCTGAATCACCTTAGAGAGAAGTTCCTTTAGACTGTGGCTCTCTGAAGCCTCTTCTGCCATCTTTGTATGTTTTGCATATGTGATGTAATTACGTTGCAAAGCACATGAAATAAGTATTTTCTCTCTAACTCAAAATTCCTTTTTCCATATCCTTTACCTTTACTCTTAGTTCTAACCTAAATGATTTGTTCTGCTGTGTGTTGTCCTTCATAAGCTATCTTTCTTGAGAAACAACCATTATACAAACTTCCCACTTCCGACTTGATTTTAGAGGCTAAAGGTGATGTGCATGCGTAACTGGAAAAGGATTTAGGAATGAAAATGTTTGGACCATTCAGTTTCTTTTCATGCCTCTTCCTCCACCACTCTCAAACACATACACAGATTTACTTGTCAAGGTTCCCTACTAAATGATAGTATCATTTATTTTTGTAAGGTGGCTGAGAAGGCTCAGTTGAGAGAGATCTGATGGCAACCAATTTTGCTCTACCCAACAATGTGCAGAGGGAAGTTTTCCCAACATCTGGCAAAAATGTCTGAGGCCGATCTTCATTTACAGCAGGAATAGGTTTGGAATAATAACCCAAACTCCATTCACTTCCAGGAAAGGTAGCCTGAGCCAACCTTTTATTAGTCACCTTCGATGTCATGCTGCATGCCTTTGGGCTGAGTATCCTGATAATATGTCTATTTTTTCTGTAATTTAAATGCTACACTCCTTTTATTTCACAGTGTGTGAGGAGGTTTGGTGAAGTACTGAAGCAAGATGACAAGCAAGATGGAGCATTGAGGGGGGATGCAAATATAAGGGTTTCAACCAGGCAGCCACAGCTTCATTGTAATTTTAACACTAGGTGCTCTTTTACCCCTCTACCTAATGGCCTTATTTCCAACAGGAAAAGAGGAGAGAGACAGCAGTAAAGTCCAGAGAAACACCACAAATCCACAGCAGTTGTTTTTATTGCTGTAATGGAGGATATTGTTAAAAGCATTAAGTGACATAATGAAGTGGATGTGGAGGGTTTTTTTAATTTTGCTTTGGTGTAAACAACTTGCCATACATTCAGAAAAATCTACGTGCTTGTACATATTTAAATCAAAAAATGTTAATATTGCTTATCTAGATCAGCCTCATTTCTTCTTCATGGCTAAATAATGCTTTCAGTGTATTAATCTGCTCACAATAGCTGCTTGGGTACTTCCTATTTAGCTTTTTCTAGATGACTGAGATGTTTAAAGAATGTGGTCTTTTACCTGCATTGCAGCTGAGTAAAAGTGGCATTGACATCAAAGACTGTCAGGAAAATGTGTACTGCTTTTTTGGATCAATGCCTAGCAAAGTTAATGGAAATTAGCTACAGCAAAATCCGGAAAAGGTTCAGTGTTTGTATAAACTGTTTCTGTCTTAAACTGCTCCTTTATACCTTATAAATTGCTAAAGGCTTTTATGGTCTTTACTGCAGTTAACTTGCATTGTTTAACATGCAGCACTTTGTAGCGGGTGATGTACTGTATGTGACAGTTTAATTTATTTTTTTAGTAACTCCATTAAAAAAAAAGTAGAACTTTTTTAGCTATTCATATTGTTTTAGCCATACTGCTTTGGGTTGTAAAACAGGCAGACCTTTCAAACCTACTGAGTCTGATCAGTATGTTGATGGAAAATGCAGTTCAGCACCCCCTGTCTGATGGGTTGTCCATCTCTATCTACAGCTTGAGCAGCAGATTTTTTACCTTTTCTTAATTAAAACTGTTTTCACTTAGAGTTGACAAATAAGCTTGATAGATGGAGGGAGAGTGAAAGATGATGCTCTTTTTGAGCTGCAGGTTAATCAGAATTAATTAGCATAATGCAAGAAGCATCCAAGTTTGGTGACTCAACAACAAAGTTCAAGCTAGCATGATCATAACTTCTCCTTATTCAAACTTGGTTGTTAACATGGATTTAACAGCAAGATTTTGGATGTTTTGCTCTGTGTTCACACACATTCTGAAATGGCTTACATTTCTTGTATGTGGAACCATACATTCAAACTATGCATTTCAGGAAGAGAAAAACTTAAGATGTCCTCTGTGTGTGTGTGAACAGAAGGAGAATGTATTGGAAGTCCTTGGGCAGCTTTGGTGATGCAAAGTACTAGGAAGGGAAGACGTTATTTCACTGAGTAACTGTCTGTATCCGTGAATATTTATACAATTATGTTATATTCTCTACTTTTCTCCTATCGTGCCCTAGTTTTCATGCAAAATTTTCAGAGAAAAATCTCAGTCTCTGTTTTCATACATGACTGTTTTTCATAGTGTTGTATGGAAGATAGACTATTGCTGTATTGTACATACAGCCTGATGCAGAGCTTTCCTTAAACCTTATTTATCCCCGTTTTTGTGCTGAGTCAAACTGACTCATACTAGACACAGCTCTGACTGGGGCTAACATTCAATTTAGCAGAGATTTACTTTGCAGTAATATGTTGAAATTGTATTTTTATCCCTGTAATTGTAATTTATTTGAAGATTTGTCACTAGCAGTAGAAACATTTGTTTTGATGTTTACAGAACTAGCAATTTAATTTTCTAGATCTGTATTTTTAGGCTTGTTTTGAGCATGTGTTTATGTTGTTTCAGGTATCTGAGCATGAATTCTGGTCTGGCTGTAGCTATTAAAGATTAATTACTGCTCTTTTTTTTTTCCTGATGCTGTAGTCACAAGACTTTGTTTTCTTCAACGTCACCATTTATGACGTGCAGGCTGAGCAGCCCCTGAGACTTGCCTTAGTTTTCGTGCCCTGGCAAATACTCATCACTTCACACAAAGCATTCAGTCTTTTGTAGACTTAAGCACTATGTACAGAGGCTTCCAGCCCAAGGCCATGATGAACAAAGTATTTTTCCTTGTGCAGTAATGAGACAATATTTCCTTGTGAAGTCCTGTAATGGTCTTTAAAATTTCTTCTAGCAGCTGAATATTGGATGTAGCTAAAACTCTCAACCTTCTTTTACCATCTTCCTATAGTCTCCATGCTGCACTCACACCTCAGGTGATAATGCCAAATACAGATTAAAAAAAAAAAGTAAACTAGTATGTGGTGGAGAGAGACCTACTTTATTTGTATCATTAGAGCAACAGTACCAAAACCTTTACAATGGATAATTACACTTCTCGAACATGAGCAGTAATGTTTGCACTGACAAAAAAATTTGGGATTGCATCTGTATGTATTTGCTTTTAGATGTATCTATTTAAGAGTCATTGCTATAGTCAGTTCTGATCTGGCTGCAGAATCTTTCAGTGATGTCTTATTAATCAATTAAAGGATTCATGACTTCTGAAGTTGGATGATGATGTTGTGTACTGAAGTGCTTTATTCCATGTTGGAACTATTGGGTAGTATTCTTCCTAGAAGCATGTTGTTACTGTTTGTGTCCCTCAGCGAAACTTCATCAAGGAGAACATTTAATAAGAAAATAATTATGACATTGAATGTGTAGAAATGTGTCCAGTTCTGGACTCCCCACTAAAGAGACGTGGACATACTGGTGTGAGTCCAGCCAAGAGAATGAAGCCTCTGCTGTAAGAGGAGAAGCGGAGAGAGCTGGGACTGTTTAGCAGGGAGAAAAGAAGACTTGAGAATCTTATCCATGTGTATAAAATACCTAATTGTAGGGGAGAAGAAATCAAAGGCAGACTTTTCTCAGTGGTGTTTAGGGACAGGACAAAAGGCAGTGGGCACAGACTGAAATGCAAGAAATTCAATTTAAACCTAAAAAAATCTTTTTTACTGTGAGGGTTTGGCCCAATGACGTTGTGCAGCCTTCATCAGTGGAGATATTCAAAACCTAACCAGACATAGTCCTGAGCAGCCTGCTCCAGCTGACCCTGCTTTGATGGCCTTCCTAGGTAACCTCCAGAGGTCCCTTCCTACCACAACTATGATTTTATCATTTAACACCATTTTTTTATTATAAAGTCTTACTCAAACTAAAATGGCATTGTTGAGAGCTTGTGTTAGATATTTTAAAATCTACTCCATAAGGACTTGAACTTCTGTATAGAAGTACAGAAGTTGTTTGTCATAAGGGCGATGTCTTTTTCTAATGTTTACTTGAAAATTTTCAGGGATTGTTAACTTCATCTGCACCTTTTGTTTTACCCCTCAGGAACGTTTCATCTCGCCAAGAATTCGTCGTCGACTTCATGCTGTCCTAGCATCTGTTAGCACTTCAATGTTGATTTTATCAAATCTAATATTTCTTGGAGGAAATCAAGTTGGAAAAATCTACTGGAACAGGATCTTTATGGAAGGCAAGTTTACTTTTATGTGCTTTCTAGATAATAGAAATTTCCAAATATTACCTTGGGTGGGCTGAGCAAGGTTCTTCTCTCAGTCCACTAACTGGAAGTAACTTTTTTTCCGGTCCTGTTCAAAACAATCAAAAATCTGTCTGACAAAATCTAAATAACTAGGCAGGCTGCATGACTACAAAGACACATTACCATTCTCCCATCAAGTCTACAAAGAAAGTGATCAGACTTCTATGTCAGTGAAATCACTGAAGATTAAATAATAAATGTGTGACAAGTTAGCAAGGTTGGATTTCTTCCCCCCCACTCTGCATTTCATGTACATCAGTAAGAACAGGCATACTAAAGCCAGCCCCATAGATGCTGTGGAAGGTTAGTGGATGAGATCTGCATGATATAGCATAATTGAGCCATTGTTTTTTTCCTGGGAATCTAATGTCAGGATAGGGACCTGCTGACTATTGAGGACGAGTTTGAGGACAGGGGAGCTTGGGTGACAGTATCAGCCTGTGGTGTTGCTCAGTAAGCAGTTAGTGACACTGTGCTGTGAGCTGACACAGGAGACAAATTGAGCTTTATTTTTTCTCGGAGCTCAGTGTAAGTAGGACCAGTTTTCTTTTTAGGTTGTTATTCCTGCCAGAGGCCCATATTGTCAAATAAGGATCTCATGGAGGAATATTTCTTTCTCATGAGGGAAGTACTAATAGGCTTCTGTGCCTAGAAGCATTCTCCTACAAAAACCACACTGTCTATTGCTCCTTCGTGAAGTGTTTTCTCCTCTTGTTCCTTGCAATGGCTTAGAAGTCAGTTCTGGAGATCCAAGGTCCTACTTAAGCATCGCAAAACAAAGAAACTCTTTCATTGTCATTCAAGAGTAAGTTATGTACATGAATGAAATGGTTTATCTTCTGTACTAAAGCAAAAAACCATTCAAACAGCTCAAAGAAAAGTATTTTTTTAGCATAAAATGTATACTAAGCTTTTTGTTAATACTGAACAGGAAAGATGGAGTGAAGTATTAGTTCATGTTTAGTTTTTACTCTTATATCATAAAATATTTGTTCTCTGTTTTCATAAAAGGCTTTATTTTCTCTTACCTTGTTTCCTTCCAATTAATTGGCTAATAGTTTCAGTGGAAAAATTAGCTGAGAGAAAAAGTTTGGAATTAAAGTTAGACATCACTTCTTATCTATTAAAAAAAGGGCACTAGTGAATTGTTCATTTCAGGTTTATAGTTTCATACAAATTATTTTCATAATGGTATTTTTATACTATAAATAAAGAAGTATTCCTTCCTCTTCGGAATGCTGGGGTTTGAAACTGATGAATGACAATGTTTTATTAAGTAGAATGGTATTTAATTAAACCAGATCAATTATTGATTGTTTTTCTATGTTTGGTTTGGTGGTGGTTTTTTTTAATAGGCCTTTGATTTATTGTTCTTGCACTGGAATACATAGTTACTTCAGGATTAGGTACCAGGCATCTAAGACAGGAATAGGAAATTAATTTAGTCATTTGCATCTTTGTTTCCATGATGTGTTAATCAAATTAACTTTGTTTTTAGAATGTGAAAGCCTTTGCTTAGTGCAGCTCATACTCTACTGAAGAAATTTCCGGTGTTTAGCTTTATACGCCTGTGTTCTTAGGTCACTCAGATTACTGTGACCATATTCTTTAGCGGCATTATTGTTCTGACAATTCACATGTACAAACTGAAACATACACTAAGATTTTACTGCATCTGCACACCTACTCCATTGTTGCTCCATTGTGGTTTTCTTACTATGGAACAAGCGGGGCAGCCCCTGGTATCAATACAGACTGGGGGATGAACAGATTGAAAGTGGTCGTGCTGAGAAGAACTTGTGTGTACTGGTGGATGAGAGGCTGGACATGACCCAGCAATGTGCACTGGTAGCCCAGAAAGCCAATTGTGTCCTGGGCTGCATCAAAAGTAGTGTGGCCAGCAGGGTAAGGGAGGGGATGCTGCCCCTCTGTTCTGCTCTGGTGAGACTCCATCTGGAGCACTGCATCCAGCTCTGGGGTCCCCAGCACAGGAAGGAAGGACATTGACCTGTTGGAGCAAGTCCGGAGGAGGCCACCAAGATGATTAGAGGGATGGAGCACTTCTCCTGTAATGAAAGGCTGGGATAATTGGGATTCAGCCTGGAAAAGAGAAGGCTTCAGGGTGACCGAATTGCAACCTTCAGTCCCTGAAGGGAAATTACAAGAAAGATGGAGAGGAACTTTTTAGAAGAGTATGTAGTGACAGCACAACGGGGAATGGTTTTAAACTGAGAGTAGCTTTAGATTAGATAATAGGAAAAAATTCTTTACTATGAGGGTGGTGAGACACTGGAACAGTTTGCCCTGAGAAGTTGTTGATGTCCCACCCCTGGAATGCTCTAGGGCAGGTTGGACGGGCCTTTGAGCAACCTAATTCTAGTGAAATGTGTCCCTGCCCATGGCAGGGGCATTGGAACTAGATGATCTTTAAGGTCCCTTGCAACTTAAGCTGTTATACGATTTCATAATTCTATGATTGAAGGCCAGTCAAATCCGGAAGGACTATTCAGAACTGAAGTCTTCAATTTCTAGTAAATTTAAGTATTGGTCTGTAGGAGACACAACAAAAATCTACATTTGGAGTGTAGAATGCTAAAAGATAAAGTTTAGGAAACCTAAGCAGGGTTTTGCAACACTCTAAAACCAGAGAGAAGACATTTGCATTTGGAGGATGTCTCTACATTCTCAGCAACTCGGGCAGCAGGATTTGAGATTGGTTGATGGAGGTGGAAGAAGGCTCTATACCAACAGTGTGACATAAAATCCCTCTCAGGTAAGGAATAGAGAGCTATGGAAAGAAAGCTGACCGCTCGCACATCAGCTGCAAAGAATAGTCAGTTCATTTCCTTTGTTCAAATCATACAGAATTATGTCTACAAAGATTTATAAGAATAGGAAGAAAATAGAAGATGTCCATTTCACAGTTTGTAAATGTAACTGGCATTTGCAGATCACTAACAAACTTGATCAAGAACATATATGCTAAATGCCAGCGATAAAATGCATCTCAGAGCAGAACTCAGATCTGCAGGTTTAGGTGCAGCATTAGGTGTTGTGTGTGGCATTTTCAGGTCCAGCATGATCCTCAGAATATCAGTATTTTAAAGCCCTAAATGCTCAGTGTATACCACCTTGTAATCAGAAATTAGAAGTTCTGTTGTATAATATCTAAAAACAGTGCTTGAAGAGTAGCTTCCCATTAGCACGTTGCGTGACAGTGACACAAATTTAAAACAACAAACTCTTGAAAGGAAGATTTACTGATGCTTAAGATGTGTGAAATGGGCTTCTAGTTTTGCTGTTTGATTACTTAAGAGGATCTACTGTGTTCTTTTGCAAAGACTGAGTAATATAAACTATCTATACAGTTGTCTGAAAGCAGGGAGGAGAAAACATGGATATGAAAGCAAGTTAAACCCTAGAGCCAACACAGTGCAAGGAGAACCATGCAAGTAAGGTACCTTTATTATCAAAGCTTTGTGGATTGCTTTCTAGGAACAGGATTTAGATGAGGATTCCCAGAATTTCTTGGCTGATATTTGAACTGTTTTGCAGTGCTTTGGCAGTAGTTTTCACAGGTCCTGTACCACTAACAAGGAAATTTGATACCTGAGCATGTCAGGTAACAGTATTTTTAGCATTTATTTGCTTTCATCTTACAAAAAATAGATTGAATTTATCTGGCTTTAAAATTAGTTTCTGTGCATCATTAAAATAGCTATTGCCAAAATTACGAGAGGAGAGGTCTGTGTGTCTCATATGGATAAGTATTTGTTCTTAGTTTTGTTCTCAGACTGTTCAGACCAGCCTTAGTGCTTGTTTCTAAAACCTAACTTGTCCTGATAAGTTATTAGCAAGAATAAAAGGTTCCTACAACAAACATTTGCTTTGACTTTTCTTTAGTAAGATTTTTCTCATGAGGGACAGTGTCATTCTAACAAGAAAATAGCAGAAATGTCTTCTAAATAACAAGACATTTTTAATCCTGTATTCAGAGTAATTAATCGATGCTTCACCTCAAAATGAGAAGCTCCAGTGAGAGGGGTTCTCTTTGAAAGGGCTCAGTGCTCCAACTGGCACTGTGCAGTACTTTTGGTTAAGAGAATTAGTCTAACAAGCATGGACAGAGGCATTAAGCTGGGACGGGACAAACGTATATTGGTTGGTAAAAGTATGAAATTCTTCCTGATCTTTCTCTGGTTAACGAGGAACAGAGTTCAGATCAATGAGGAAAGCACACAGTGCATGTCAGATGTATTTTACATTGAATAGCTGTCTGAAAATTGCACAGCCATCATTTAACTGTAAACCAGTACTTTAGCTATCCATTTAACCTTGCTAAATTGTGAGAAGTGCCTCTCTCGAGTGCAGTTCATCCCACGTACATCTGTCTTAGCATGGGATGAGATGCATTGTCACTCTTCACTACGTTCAGAGGCATTTTGTACAGCCTAGTTTAGATTAGATTGGACACCCAGCATTTGAGAAGGTGTCCTTTAGTAGACATCCAGCAAAGAGTAATTTTCACACTTGGTTAGAAATGATTTACTGCAGGAGTACAGAGCAGCTGGCTGGGCAGAAGTTCTGCAATGAGGGATATCTGACTGTTCTACCAGATTGCAAACTTTGTGCATCAACAGCATCATACCACTTACAACAAAAATAGACCTTATGCCAAGATGCATTGACAGCAGTGCAAAAGACATAAATTAAGCTCTTCATTATGTTCTGAAGGTTAAAGTTAAAATATGTCCACTTTTGGTTGCTGCAGTGTAAAAAAAAATTAAAGCTGTCAGGGAGAAGGAAATGCAGCAACATACTTGGAAGTCTAGGAGCCATGACCCTGAAATAAACAGCGTTGTTTTGTTTTGAGAGGAAATTACTGAGGAGAGAAATAGATACCTAGGAGTTTCTGCAAATAAAATGTTAAT